TGTAAACTAACTGAGCAAGCGTGGTTTTGCCCACACCACCCATTCCGACAATTGAAATCACACCAGTTTTACCATCCATTAACCGTTCAAGAATGGCTTGTTTATCCTGTTCCCTGCCAAAAACCTGAGATTCATCCACAAGAGAAGAAGTAGAGCGCAGCCCCTCCTTTTTTGTCTCCAATCTCACTTGGCCACCTCCCTCCACCAAATTCAAAATATTCTTTTGCTCAAGAATCAGTTGAAATCTAGCAGTGATAGCTTCCATCTCTGCCCCCAGCCGCCCGCTAAACTTAATGCCACTTGAATTGAAACCAGCACAACATGGGGGAAAGATGAAGCGTACCTTGCTGGTGGTGGCAGATTGGGTGTGTCCTAGTATTCTCCGGCGCTGGACCTCGGTGTTAATTTCATCAATGATGTCTTCAGCATCGTAAGCAAGGTCTCTTAAATCAGAGAGCCAGAGTTTGAGGGCACGACTGGCAGTGTGGCTTTGTTGTGCGTCCTCGAGCAGGGCATTGATTTTGGGCAGAAAGTTCTCCCACTTGTTGAGTTGGGAGAAAAACTGCTCTCTCCGGGCAAAGTTGAGAAACTCCGAAGCAGACAATCGATCAGAAATAAAATCGACGAGAGCGGAGACCATCACATCAGCAAGACTGGATGTTAAAGCGTCCATTTATTCAGGTTTTGTGGGTAATTTGGGCTGTTTCACCAGCTCAGGCGGACAATCGATCAGAAATAACACTCTTTTTGAGCTTGAGTCAATGTTTGGTCTATTCCAACAGCGGGAAATTAGCAATACCAACTAGACATGGCACTGGAATGCTAAAGTGCAGATAATATTCCTCCTTCGAGCAGGCATAGTTGACTGGAGGAACGGAAAAAAGCATAGTAAGTTAATTTAGACTTTTATCCTGTAATAATAATATAATTTCAACTCTATTTTTAAACAGCAATAATGAAAGCTAGCCAATGAGAAATTATTGTACTAATAAAGAAAAAGTTTATAGCCTTTTGACTTAAAAATAATGCAGCTTAGACAGAGAATACTACAATATTCTCTAAGACTACAGCTAACAAGATGTTTGGATTAACAAAGAAAAACTATTAAAGCAAGCAGGAAAACACTTAAAATGGTAATATTACAGTAGTATGGTAAAGATTTAGGTTTAGGAGGTAATTTAAAAAAAAAAGAAAAAAAAAAGACCTTTTAGTTTTCTAATGAAATACTCAACAAACAAAAATTGCTCTTTTTCTTTTTTTTTTCGTTTTCTAATATGAGCGGGAGGTATTTCCTTGGCACAAGCAAAAAGTATACAATTGACTGGAAACAAAAATCCCAGAAACAGGCTTCATTTCTTTCTTTCTCTTCTTAAAAACCCAGAAACAAATACCAATCTTTTTGAATACCCAATTCGAAATTTCAAATAAACTCAAATACCCAGATGAGAAAAAGCAAAAACCGAAAGGCCCAAGGAAATACGTCTGCTCATAGGATTATCTTTTATCGACAAAAGATCCAACAAAAAGTGCCAGCCAAGAAAGCTTACTTTTGACGGGGCGAACCTATTCCACAAAATTTTGTTTTTTGGTCGTTCTTCCTCTATGATTCCAAGCAGAGATTTGAAGGGGAAACTGAAAAAGAGTGGAATTGAGTGAGGGAAATCAAAGATAAAATAGAGGTTCTGAATGAAGAGAAAAAGAGGAAAATCGAAGAATAAAAGGTGATGTGGTTATTGATGAAGCACCATAAGCAGCAGCAGCTAAAACTGATGAGTGGACTTTGCTTTGGAGCATATGGGCTGCTGCTGTGTAGTGCGCCCCGCCCACCCAGTTTATCTATCCTCATAATGGACTCTGACGTAAATTTTTTAATAATCAGGTACAAAAGTTAGTGAGCTTGGGGCCCACATCATGGGGTTATTGTTGTCGAATTTAATTTAATTTTATTTTTATTATATAAAACACTCGATATTTAAAAAGTCACTGAATTAATTAATTTAAATTTGAGTAAGGTAGACCTTACGGGTGGTGAACTTCTCTTACAAATTTTAATAAAATTACATTATCACATCTTGAAATTAATACCCTTATTTAAATTAAAAAAATTCTTTACTAATTCATTCACTTACTCATGTGTTTTATTTTATTTTATTTTTACTCATGACCGAACCAATGCTTTGGATCCGCTGTAGGCTCGCAACTTTTCTGAGTGGAGATGGCTCCACAAGATCCCGCATCGGATGCTACCAGAAAAGCAAAGGACGCTCAATTCATCTATCGTCCTAGTGAGGTCCACGTACGACCTCACAGTGTAATGTGAACAGTAAGAAAACAATAATGCGGTATTGCAAGGAATTGTTTTAAACAGAAAAAATAAAAGTGCAGTCAAGTTTGGAGGATTTTGTCATGAGCAAAGTTGAGGAGATTTTCTTTAATATTTTTTTTAGATAAAAAAATAAAAAGCGTACCTTACTGGTGGTGCCAAATTGATTGTGTCCTAGTATTCTTTGGTGCAAGGCCTCTGTATTAATTTCATCGATCGATGATGTCTTCAGCATCGTAAGCAATGTCTTCTGGGTACGACTGGCGCGGTGGTTTTGTTGTGCATCATGGAGCAGGGCGTTGATTTTGGACAAAAGATTTTCCCCACATCTTAAGTTAGGACAAAAACTGCTCCTTCCGCGCAAAGTGAAGAAATTACTCTGACGAGGACAATTGATCGGAAATAAAATTGAAGAGAGCAAAGAACATTACATCAGCAATACACAAGGCTAAATTTTCCATTTTCCAGTGTAATACAAACTGGAAAGCAAAAGTGAGAATGATACTCCTCCTTCCTCGCAGTCATATTTTCCCCAAGGAAAGGAATGGTAGTTTAGTTAGACTTTTATCAGAAAAAAATAAATTGGATAATCGATGAATATATATATAGCGGCTTCAATCAAGTTATCCATGTCAGAGAATTTACCTTTGGTCATGGCATTAGGCTCGAGCTCTCGAACTTCCTCAACGGGCTTGGAACTTGGAGGGGCTCCTTCTGCCTCTTGCCCCTTGCATTGACTTGTTCTTATTAGAAGATTTGCTCTTTAAAGTGGCTTATCCTTCTGTAATTGCTCATTTGGAATGGGGAAGTGAATTGAATGTTGCTTACCGCCAT